CAACCTTGAAATTCTTTGTAGTATAATGTTTTTAGTTAGAAGGTGGCTCCATGTGTAGTGTTGTCTTTGCTGCTTCCATCAAAATCTTGTTTGGATAGTCCCAGTTACCAAGGACCAGACACACACAGTATAGCTGCAATATAGCTGATAGAGCTCCTATTGAGCAAAACTTTTCATTCCATTGCAAACTCAATACCATCATCTTGAGATATGAAAAAAATAGAGCGAGAGAGAAGGAAAGAGGGAAAGAGTGTGAGTGAGAGAGTAAGAGCTTCATTTTCTAGAATTATACTGTTCTTTCATTTTGTGGTGAGTGGAGTCAATCTGGATGCAAGCAGGGATCTCTGTAAGGACACTTATACAAGACGCAAGTGTGGTATCTCTGAACAGCCTAGACCAACTTCAGCTATCTGCCCAAATGTAGATCTAGATACGCCTTTCACAACAGCAGACACATCTGAGAATGTATAGGTAACTGCAGCTAAATGCTCAAGAAACTTGGTGAGTTCTCCACAAATGCTTGTCTATTTATAAAAGTTTTTAAGGAGCAGAACAATGACTATTTTGCCTGGTTTGCTTTTTCTAAAGCCCAAGATAAAGATACTGCCAGAACACTTTATATGAAGACAATGCCATAAATTTAAATGCAGAAGAGGGAGAATATGTAGCAGCCTGGTAAATTTCATGCCTGTAGAGACTGAGATTTGAAAAGTAGTGAAACTATTGCTATCTGTTATTGAATAGCCTAGATCTTATCCTAGATCCTAACCTGGAATAAAATTAAGGAAACAACGCTGCTAATACCTAATTACAGTTTGAAGCCTATGCTAATTATATATACTGCTTTGGCTGTTAGATATGACTCAAGTGATTATTTTCTCCTGAGCAGCTGTGCTTTAGTGTGAACCTAATGTATACTTTTTCTCTGCTTTATATAACAATTACATTGTTATATTGGCTATGTCAGAAGCCTTTTCAAAATGTCAGTAGTTGCAGAACTGCAAGGAGCAATTTGAAGCCTATTCTATTATACCTGTATTTTCTGTCTCAGCTTGTATGCTCATTCTGTATAGAAATCCTTACAGTGCTTGCAATAATGAGCAATGAGATGAAAAAGTATATTGGATGGATGCACAAGAAAAAAAAGACTTTAGTGGGTTTGGTGACAACTTAATACTGGAAAACCACGTTTTCAGGAGACTGTTACCCTGCCATCCAAAAATCTGAAGTGACATTATCTGCAACAGATTGCATCATTAGGTCAAGGGATGTTTTACTATTCTTTTAATCAGCAGTAAATTCAAATGCCTCATACTCAGCTCATAAGAAAGGACTGTCAACACATCCATTCTTTTGGAAACATTTTTATGTTTATAAATTATAATTTGTAAGGAAATACTTTTAAAGTGTTGAATTTGTAATGTGTTTTTTGTGGGTGGTTTTTTTTTGTTGTTGTTTTTTGTTTTTTAGAACCACAGCTAAATGACGAGCTGCCAGAATATCTCATTAAAGCAGAATATGATTTATTTCCTGAAGTACAGATTAAAAATAATGTCAAGAATTGTATCACTAAGATTTGATTGTGGACTGTTTGAAGTGCACAATGTTTTCCAGGTATTTCAGTCCAGAATACATTTCCAGAATCATGTCCAGAATCAGAACACAGGAAGTTTTGCTAGTAAAGGCTCAATTAGAGAGTGGGTGTTTTTACTGTTTCGATAAGCATAGCTAGCTAGCAGATTGATACAGTTTTGGTAATTTCAGTGTTTCTATATAAGCTACACTTGTACTATGGGGATTTACCAGTGTAACACTATTTGCAAGTGCTCTTTATGTAGACTGTGAAAAGGGAATCAGTTTTCTTCCCATTCTTCTCATAGTTGCTATTGTTCTTTCTATTGATCTTCTGCTACTCTGTGTCTAAGGAATTGTAAAATTTAATCAATTGCAATAATTAAAACATACTGTATGTGAATGATGCACAACTTCAATTACACAGCAGAGTCCCAGACAAATAAAAGTTTGAGATTATTACAGTAGAAGCCAAAATACTTTCTTTTGCTGTAATCTTCTCACCCCAGTGATACATTCATAATTGTAGGTGATATCTAGGGAGGTGATTGTCCTCCTGTACTTGGCTTTTGTGAAGCCCCATCTGGAGCATTGCGTCCAGGCCTTGGGGCCCCAGCTCAAAAAAGATACGGAGCTGTTGGAGCATGTCCAGAGGAATATCATGAGGATGATCAGAGGACTGGAGCATCTCTCCTTCAAAGAAAGACTGAGGAAGCTGTGCTTGTTCAGACTGCAGAAGAGAAGGCACCAGTACCTAAAACGGACCATGGGAAAGATAGGGAGGGACTCTTTATCAGGGAGTGCAGTGACAGGACAGGGAGTAACAGCTGTAGAACAAAAGAGAGGAGATTTAGATATTAGGTGGAACTTTTCACTCAGAGGGTGCTGAGGCACCAGAGAAGTGGTGAATGCCTTATCCTTGGAGATGTTCAAGGCCACGTTGGATGGGGCCTTAGGCACTCTGATCCAATGGAAGCTGTCCCTATCCACAGCAGGGATGTTGGAACTAATGATCTTTGAGGTCCCCTTTAATCCAAACACTTCTATGATTCTATGACATGTATAAAACATTAAAAAATCTCAGGCCTGCTATTTTGTGCATTTTATTAAATTCAGATTTGCATGTTACCAGCATATGGTGTGGTTTCAACAGTTTGTTATTGTCAGAAAAAAAAACATGGGTGATAACCCTGGACATGAAAATTATATAATCAGCATCTATGAAGTGACCTGTCTTACATGGAATTTTAACACTGTCACACAGTGGAAGAAGGGATGCTATATAGTGAATCATGATTTTCCTGGGATCTTTTATATGCTGGTGAATACCCAGGCATAAAATAAATTTCTTATAACAGACTTCGAAACACTAGCGTTTCCTAATTAAAATCAGTTTGATGACAGACATATTCTCATGATTTTATTTTCTAAGAACAATGCGTGTCAACTAATTGTGTCCCTAGATTATGCAGTTTTTTCTATATTATTATTTACATGCTGATGCAGGCCAAAATGAGGAGACTGTTGGTTTCAGTGGCAGAAATTAAAAGCTCAACAATTCTGTGCCATGTTTATTATATTTTTATTTGTTCTTTGAGTTTTGAAAGCATTATTATATTATTGAGTAAGTTAGAGAACTCAAGCATGCATTAGTTACTTTGCAGTAATTTTGTGGAGAACCTAGTATACTCTATTTAAGCTTCAAACCTTTTCACAGTGAAATCTGATACAGTCTGATTTCACAGTCTGGAAAGTAGTCATTGCTCTGCAGTAGTGTTTTCTTTTGTCTGCCTGTGCCCTAGCTACAGGCCATCGCTCATGCCATTATTCAGCCCTGCCTAGGTATTTGAGTGTTACTGCCTTCATTCTGTTTTATCTTCTCAGCAAACACTTTCCTAGTGCTGGTCTTTTTTCTGTTGTGGGCAGCAGTTATAATGGGATGTGTACCCCCTACACAAAACAGATTAACCAGAGTACTTCTGGATGGGCTGTATGAAGAACGAAGACAGTCAGCCAACAACTCACTTGGTAGGAGGTGTAAGCAAATTTTAACTCTGCTAAGAAGTAAAACTCAAAAGAAAAAAAAAAATGGCAGAAGCAGCACTGGTAGGGAAAAATACACATCTGTTTGAAATATTTCTACATATGAAAGGTGCTACCTGTTCTGTCTAAGCTGGAAAAAGGCCGAAGACAGAATGTAAGTACAAGATGATGCCAAACACAGGCCCTCATAATGTGAGCAGTTCTGCTTGTGCTTAGAGAGCTCGCTTTATGCTTAGTAACCCACAGCTGAAATAGGCTTACTGCTGTTTTTTTCAGAGGTACGGTGAGGTGGTATTTTCATCTCTTGAGCTGTTATCACTGCTGTGACCAATCTCTTCTTATATACGATACTGCCCAGTTGCATTTCACTCTTCTTGGATATCACAGCAAATTTATTAGCCCTAGTGTGTGCTTGCAAGCACATCAGATATCACTGAATGGATTTCACAGTACCATTTCTGACAAATGAGAGCAAATGCTTTTAAGAATGAGTTTAAACTGAGCTTTAAAACAGAAAATAATTTTTAAAATAGTTTATTTCCACATTTTTAATGAAAACACAGACATAGTCAGGACTTTTAATCAAAGCAATAATGTATTTTTTTCAAGTTGCCAACATTACCTGGAGTATGAATAAGTAAACTTTGTAGTAAAAATTTTATGTTCTCTGGTAGATCCATTTCTTTTCTCCTGATGTCAGTTTTGTAAGTGAGAATGACCAGCAACTCTGGGCAACGTGAAGGGGCATCATGCATGAGGGGTCTGATTCCTATCAAAATCAATGCCAATAATTTTATGGAACCTATCTCTTGAGAAAGAACCCAAAGCATAGTGTATAGAAAATTTATTTATTATTATATTTATTTATTAGAAAATTATAGAAAAATATTCATGTACTTTCACCTTTTAGTGATTACAAGAAACAAGGCTTAATTTCATAATACTGCATATTTTTTAATGTTCTAACCCTCTCTACCTATTTCTACCTTCAATTCTTTTAGCACCTAAAATGTATGCAGACATTGCAACCAGGCAGATCTGTTCCCCAGAGCATTGCCTCTTGTTTTCATAATTTCAGCTTCTGACCCATAAATTTATGCATGACTTGGAAGGTCTCTGCACATATTAAATGGACAGTTTACACTGTATTACCCAATCATTTCTCTGCACTGCCCTAAGTTCTGTATAATTACATTTAATTCAGAAAACTAATAGATTAATATTCTGCACATTAACAGGATTCGTATATTCTTTACTCATTAATTTGCAATAATACATCTTACCTTCTTATGTAATTTAAAAAATAGTAGGACCACTTGGCTTGCCTTTCTGAAAGGCTTATTACAAACAGTAAAACAATCAGGCTTTGACCATGTCCAGATGACTGCAATGTTTTCTCTTTGTGCAAAAAGCAAAATGTTAAAATAAAGAACGCAGGAGTCAAAACAGCTTCCTTCATTCTGAGTTTATTTGACACGTACACATTTTAAATAATTTAAGCAGACTCTGACAAATGCACTTGCACCAGTCTAACCAAAACATTTATTTTATTTTACAGATTTTGGCCATTGTGTCCATTCTGTTCATCGTACTGTCCACTATTGCTTTGTCTCTTAACACGTTGCCAGAGCTTCAAGAAATAGATGAATTTGGGCAGCCAAATGACAACCCTCAGCTAGCGCATGTTGAAGCTGTGTGTATTGCTTGGTTTACCATGGAGTACCTTTTGCGCTTTCTGTCCTCACCAAACAAGTGGAAGTTCTTCAAGGGGCCGTTAAATGTCATTGACTTACTGGCTATCTTGCCATACTATGTCACCATTTTCCTCACGGAGTCCAATAAGAGTGTACTGCAGTTCCAAAATGTCCGACGCGTGGTTCAGATATTTCGTATAATGAGGATCCTAAGGATTCTTAAACTTGCCAGACATTCAACAGGCCTTCAGTCTTTGGGTTTTACTCTCAGACGGAGTTACAATGAATTAGGCTTGTTGATACTATTTTTAGCCATGGGGATAATGATATTTTCAAGTCTTGTATTCTTTGCTGAAAAAGATGAAGACGCCACCAAATTTACCAGTATCCCTGCATCATTCTGGTGGGCAACGATCACTATGACTACTGTAGGATATGGTGACATTTATCCTAAGACTCTGTTAGGTAAAATTGTAGGAGGACTTTGCTGTATTGCTGGAGTACTGGTTATAGCCCTGCCTATTCCAATTATTGTGAACAATTTCTCAGAGTTTTACAAGGAGCAGAAAAGACAGGAGAAGGCAATTAAGAGGAGAGAAGCACTTGAGCGAGCTAAAAGAAATGGCAGCATTGTTTCCATGAACCTGAAAGATGCCTTTGCTCGCAGCATGGAAATGATAGATGTAGCAGTAGATTCAGGTAAGCCTGGTGAAGCAGCCAACCCAAAGGAGACACCCGATGACAACCATCTGTCACCAAGCCGGTGGAAATGGGCCAGAAGGACAATGTCTGAAACAAGTTCAAACAAATCTTATGAAAACAAATACCAAGAAGTTAGCCAACAAGACTCCCATGAGCAATTAAACAATGCCGCAGCATCCTCCAGCCCACAGCACCTCAGTGCTCAAAAGCTGGAGATGCTATATAATGAAATTACTAAAACTCAATCTCAGCCTAATCTTAACGCTGGTTACCAAGACCAGTCCGCAAAGCCACCTACATATGAAGAAGAAATAGAAATGGAAGAAGTTACAGGGCAGAGAGACCAGTTGCCAGCTGGACCAACAGACGTCATCATGGACATAAGAAGCACATCTAGTATCGACAGCTTTGCCAGCTGTGCCACTGACTTCACAGAAACAGAGAGGTCTCCACTTTCTCTCTTTCCTGGCTCTCACTTGCAGATGAGGCTCCCAAGTGATTCTGCCAACCCAGAAGACAACCAAAGAGTAAGGAGTTCTCAGTTTATGTCATTCACAAAAGACAGAATGTTTTCTCCAACTGATATCACCTTTGACTATACTCCAATCGAGAGAGCTATTACCAGTGATGGCAGTGGGACCCAGACTGTTTTGCACGGTCATTTACATTTCGACACTGCCATGGAAAGCCCCAAAAGTTCTCTGAAAGGTAGCAATCCATTAAAATCCAGATCCCTTAAAGTTAATTTTAAAGACAATAGAGGTGGTGCTCCTCAAACTCCACCCAGCACTGCAAGGCCATTGCCTGTGATGGCAGGAGCAGACTTTCCCCAGGCCACCCCTCAGCACATCAGCACCATTCTCTTGGAGGAAAATTCACCCCAAGGTGAACGACCTTTACTTGGTGCTGATGCAGCAGGACTTTGTCAGGGACCTTCAAAAAAATCATCCCCTCTGTTTCCCAAACAAAAGATTTTCACTTTCCCTTCAAAAGAGAGGAGAAGCTTCACTGAGATAGACACTGGAGAAGAAGAAGAGTTTATGGAGTTACATGGTGTAAAACATGAGAAACAACAAGATATTAAGACAAATTGCTGTGGGGACAAACACAGGGATGGCAACCATTTAACAGAGGAGCCACAGGTCAGCTCTTCACCCAAAAGCATGAGTCACAACTGTACTCAAGACATTTACCATGCTGTGGGTGAGGGGAAGAAAGACAGTAACCAAGAAGGCCACAAAATGGAAAACCATTTATTTGCCCCAGAAATTCATACGAGTCCAGGAGAAACTGGTTACTGTCCCACACGTGAAACTAGCATGTGACTAGTTACAGAAGCAATAAAAATACTTTTTCTTAAACCACAGTTAGTAATGCCTATGAACTAAAACATGGAAAGCCTCAAAAAAAAGTGCATAAAATGTTATTTTTGCATGGCATGAAGAGTTCTTTAGTTTAAATACTGTTTAATTAAAAAAAAAAAAAAAAAAAAAAAAGACTGCTTTTTGTAAGAAACTGAAAAAAAAAAAACAGGAAAAAAATGACTCGAGAACAGTAAATAAAATAAAGAAAGCTCTGCTAAGAGCCAGTGTTCTGCAACATCTGACATTTTTGATCCTTTCACTTATGATTGTAGACAGGTTTTGAACTCTTTTAACTTTTTGGTTCTCTTGGTTACAATGAATTTTAGAATTTGCACATGAAAGGATAAAATGTCAATGCATGCATTCATAACGATGTGAAACAAGGTGCTGCAGGCTTGCAAAATGCATATATTTGTAAATAGTTTGGGGTTGGGGGGAAAGCTACTGTTAAAAAGGATTTGTGGAAAAAGAATTTCCTGGGACACAGGTACTTCCTTCACAGCGTGCTGACTGGAGGTTTTGTACAGACTTATGTTGCAAAATTGCAACTTCTACTTAAAGCATCTCACCTATCTTGCTTTCTGTTAAAAAGCTCATGAATATATCTGTTAATTAAGGGACTACAGTATCTTAGTTTGTCTGTGCTGTAAATCATAGGGGGGTTTTTTTGTTTTTTGTTTTGTTTTTTGTTTTTTTTTGTTTTTTTTTTTTCTTTGCATAACTTTTGTTATTGCATTTGTCAGTTTAATTGATGATCCTGTGAGGAAAAAAAAAAAAAAAAGATTTAATGACCAGAACTTGAGACATTTGATATTTTTATAGAATACTGCCAACATTTCATAACTAAGAAAAAAATGTTCCATTTTAAATTTAAACAGCAACAACATAGAATTATTTCTGTGGCAATAAATAGTGCCAAATGGCTATCTTGATCTCAATCTCTTAATATATTTTATATTAAAAGAAATATTATTCACATTATTTTTTCCCACTGATTTAAAATATTTGCTTCTATGTGATCTTCGAGAACTCTTGATAATTCTTCTTCCACTCTATCTCCAAATCCCCTTCTTTACATACCACACCCATACTTCACTAAGGGCAGTGCTATTGAAGCCATTATGGTGTGAAGACATAAGGCACAAACTTGAACTGACAGATGGTATTACCTGACACACCATCTCTGCCTCAATCCGTTCTCCAGTGGCTGTTCCAAAAGCTCAGTATATGCTTTTCCTTATGCATAATGAAGGGAAATGTCAATGCTTCCACTGACATCTACCAAACAGCTTTGCTTTCTCTGGTATTCTCCAGCTTTGTAAAAGAAGAGTGCCGAACCAAAGCCTTCATTACAAACAGTCTGAAAAAAAAGCTACTAATTTTTTATCCAGCATCAATAGCTTCCTATGCTATAGTCATAATAATAATAATAAAAAACCCACCATAGATGGTTTCTATTTCCTAAACCATAAAAATTTCATTCAGTTCATTAATCCTAATGAAATATAGCAAAAATGTAGCTACACTAATGTGCCCTATGAAATGCTCTTTTTTTTTTTAGGAAATCAGAATGCATGTCTTTTTGTTTGCTGTCCTCTGATTTCTTCTGAAGTTGGATGCTCCCAACAGCTTTGTCAGTGCAGTGAGTCCAGCCTCACAGCTAATAAATAGGCAGAAGGCTCGGCAGAGAAGTCTGATGAGCATCAACTCCCTGCTGTTCTATGGGCTTATTGCCTGAGACTGAGCCTCTCGCTTCGCTATGCACAAAAGGGAGATACTGCTTCTCTCAGGTCGGGATTATTACAATAAACCTTGTAAAGGCTGTGAGACAACAAGGATGGGAGCCTTAAAAGCACTTTAGACCAACCAAAAGCTGGTTGATCACATCAGGCTTCTACTTCCCATAGAGGAGCTCAGTTAAATTTTACCAATATATCATTTTCTGTTATATAAATTAGTATAAATCAGCACCTAATGCATTTGATGTAAAAAAGCAAGCATTTTATTGCAACGTTGTCCTCTGCTTGACATGGCTGGGCTGATGCCACAGCCTGCTCCATAGAAAAGAGGCAAGTTTGAAAAGCACTGGTGGCTGGACCAAATCCAGCCAAGTATACCACAAATTCTTTGCTTAAGTAATCAAGTTTTGTAAGATTAGATTTCCATACATACAGTAAGTTTTCTCCTCACTCATTTGAAACACTGGGAATATAATGTTATTTCTTCAGAACAATGTCTGGTCATTAATTCTCAGAATAAAAATGATATATATTTTTTTTAATTAGTTGCAGTTCATTGCAACTTGTTGCTGCATTCAATTTTAACTATTTCTATGGCATCCTGCTTAATCATGTTGTGTCTCACTGTCCCAAAACTTAGCTCTTAAGTATTTTAAAGTCATTAATCTTCTATATTTATTTTTATGTTTTCTTGCTAGATATTTTCAGTGACAAAAACTAAATGCCAGTCAATTTTTATATGCCTAAAGTGTTGGTCTGTATTTTCTATGTGCAGTTTTAATGAAATCACATGGGCCTGTTCGATCTGCCTTTACATCCTAGTGGATAAGAAAGACCAAATTAAGTCCAAATGGGACCTGATCCCATGCTCTGGATCTACAGAAAAATCCCATTCAAGATAACAGTGTTGTTCTGGAAAGGCTGAGGTCTGTGTCCTGTGTCTAATATGTACTTTTTCTCCCCGCTGACCCTTACACTTTTGGAAAGCCCCCTTGGATCAGTGTCATTTTTGGAAAGGGAGGAGTCCAGCCATAGGGAACTTATTTCAGGAGCAAAGATTTAATTCTTTATGCTCTCCTGAACTAAACCAGTACTTTATGCAAACTTGATTCTACCCTATGGAAAGTTTAACAGTAAAATCAAAATTCAGTCCCTGTGCAGATGAATTCCCCTGAAACCAATGAGCGTCTGCCAGAAAAAGGGACTGACTGTAAACAAGGACAGTACGATTCTTGCTTGGGTACAATCAACAGTAAGCCAGTTGAGAAGACCAGGCCCTTATTGACTGCCATATTTAAAACATTTTTCAGAGAAGCACAGTTATTTTGAAATTATACAAGCAAAAGAAATGCAATTCTCTTTATTAACAGATGTTGTATTTTTTTTAAAGCTTTAAAGCAAAAGGATCAAGCTTTAGAAGTGCTTTTGTTATAATTTCATTGATTCATTACATACTTTTGACTATGCTGAATATTATTTCCAGAGTGAGGGGGTAGGACATTTGGTATTTCCAGTCTTGGCTGCATACATGGGACCCAGTCCTGCATACCTAGCTCATGAATAACTCCTGATCAAAATATTTACTTGACTAGTTGCAGGACTGGATCTGGATGTGCTGCACTATAGCATGCGCAAGAAGTACAGTCCAGGACCTCTTCATTCATCAAGAATATGAATTGCTATGTAGCAAATTATGCAAACTACCTGAGTATATTTTTCTGCTTTTCTAAAATTTCAAAGCCATTTCGACCTATTATCCATTTGCCACAGTAAGGGGAGGGTTTTTTCAGTCCCGGAGTCAGCCTCCAACAGTTGTGGAATTTTTAAACAACTTAAGGAGCCCTGAGACAAAGTTACTCCCCTGTGCGTCTGAGAAGAGTCTGACTCTTCATATCGCTGGAAAATGAAGATTGTTCAGGGAGATAGCTTTGCAATCAATTTTTTACATTTTATACTAACTGCAGAATCCTGAATCAAAGTTGTAATTAATTTTCAATGGTGAAACCAAATGAACACGTTTAAATGATGCTCACAGAGTAATCAGAACAATTTTTGAGTAGATAGTAACATGAATTCAAATGGAGGGTGGGGGGAATCATGTATCGCACAAATTGCAAAGTAAGTTCATACAGGAAAGCTGTTTACAGGGGAAGCATATAAAGAATGTAACATGGTATAGAAAGTTATTGCACTAGGGAATTTATACAAAATACAGTTTTTTAAACAAAAACACAAAAGGCCTTTTAATGCTTCAGTGTCTAGAATATAGGAGCTTCTGTGCTAATGCAGAAATCTAATGCACTGTGTCCTCGCCTCAAAATTGGTCTCAAAATTCAAACATTACTGATGTCAAAGAGGTGATATCTGATCCAACACTAGAGCAACTTAAAGAGCTGTTTCTTTTTAGTACAAGGTTATGCAGCCAAAAGTATGCACAGAAAATTGTATTTTTGCCTATAACATGTGTACAAATCACAGTGACAATTGGCTTCTAGAGTATTTCCATAACACCTGGCCTTATTTTTGTGTTCCTTGCTCACTTCTCTAAGCGATAAACAACTAGTTCATTTAAAACTAGGTTTCTTCCTCTATGTATATCCTGAGCTTAGATCTGTTTGAAACAAGGTTTACCTTCAAATTACCTAATTAAGTCCTTCACTCTCATCCCTAAAGCACAGTTCAGTACAAATGCTACTTGTTTTTTTCAACTCCTACTGCAAACACAGTCAGTCTGGTAAAAATGTCCAGGGCCTACCTAACCATCTTTTTTCATTCATATGATTTTGGGGTCAATTCATGCCCCCCCCAAAAAACCTTTTAAAAGTAAAAAAGAAGCAAGGAATATGTTTTTTTTCAAAGTAGCACAGATCAAGCAGGAAAAGTGTTTACAGCAAAGAGGGAAGAAAGACAGAAAACCGTAAGTAAACAAGGCATGCTTTAATACACTATATAGAGATATAATAAAACATACATTGATCATACTTATTGAAACAAAAGTGACAGCACAAGTTAATTTCAGACCTACCCCATCTTAAATTTTAACATGGAACCAACAGGTCTCTACTGAAATTTTCAGTGATGTTATTACCCAGTTGCCTAACTGAAACACCTGATCTTGTGATTGCTTTTCAAAAGACTTTTCTGAAAAATAAGATATTCTGCATACTTATCGTTGTTGATCTTTGGATCTCTTCCTCTTGCCCTCCAAGCACCAACCTTCTCCTCGCTTGGGAGCCATCAGAAAACAAACATGATGATAGATGTGTCTTGTTTTTCAGGAAAGTATTTTTGTAGCCTGATGCAAATAGCCAGATAGATAATAACTCCATTTATTGCATTTGAACTGAAGAACAGGAAGAATGGTATCCTTTTATTTCTGTTATTGTTGC